ATTTTCTGTCTCCCCCCCCAAAAAAAATCCCAAGATTCGGTTAAATTAAAAACCTCTGAAAACCACAATTTACACATGCTCAGGAGAGCCGAGGGCGGCTTAGCAGCTGGAGTTTCGAGGCTTTGCCACACTACAATTAATTGAAACTGTCAAACTTTTTCAGATGGAATGTGTTCTGATCGGAACACCTATTTTGTCAAAGTTAAAAATTTCCACAGGAATGTGGTGATTGTGATGCTAATTACTTTTTTAAAAAGATCAAAATGAAGCAGTCTCCTGTATGGGCTTGGCTTCACAATCGACCTGCATCTCCCATGATGCCTCACCACCAGGGACTCCCATGATGCACTAGCCTCTCCTCAGGAAGAGGTGCCTGGTTCTTCAAGGGTTAAGCAGTCTGACGAAGGCATTGGACATTATCAGAAAGGGTCATTTTGACTTGTTTTTTAAACAATTTCTTGTTTTTTTCATGTATCTTAAATGCATTTACATTAGAAAAGATGCTCTATAAAAGTTGTATATACTTTATAGATATAGACATAAATATATATCTATTTATGTATTTTAGGAATGTGTGCGTGTCTGTCTGTACATCTGTGAGTTTGGTTGTTCAAGAACCTCCTGGTGAAGCCAGTGGCCAGGGTGTGCGCCCCTCGCAGGCCAGGCCAGGAAGAAGCTGGTGACCAGGCTGCCTCCCCCCGCCCCGCCCTGGGTCGGACCCTGGCAACACCAAGGTCAATCTTCTAGGGTGCATCTATCTTGCGCCCGCAAGTCAAAATCAGATATGCGATTTGTGTTATGCAAATTGTTTCTTATTTCGATCTAATTTCAAAATAGCTTATTTCGATATGTCCCTTGACTCTTGTGGCATCAGGGTTACAGGGACGTCGGAATAGCGAGCCCATTATTTTGAAATCTATTTCAAAATAACGGGCTGGTTCTAAAGACACGGAACAGCTATTTCAGGAGTCCTCGAAATAGCGCCGTGGTTTTGACATACCCCTAATTCTCTGATATATTTCAATGTAAAGACATTGAAGTGCTCAGTGAAGCAGGTTTATTTTCTCCCCCCGCCCCCTCCCAAACATTTTGTTCTGTGGGAAATTTCAAAATGGCTTCCATGAGGCCTGATTCGGGATGAAAACAGCTTGTGGAACCCTGGCGCCCAGCCGGCTCTCCTCGTACTAAACAGCAACAGGACACACAGTGGAAATGTGTCCCTAAGCGCAGTTTCTATGGGCCTGTGGTGCTCCACCAATATTCTGGAACAAGGGCCTGGCTGCTCCATTGGGCAGATATTTTCAGAGCCGAACTGTCCATAGGAGAGACCGAGGCTACTGCCCCAAACCACTTGCTTTGGCGGGCCCCCACGCTTCAGGGCGATGCAGGGGCCAGATGGCCTGGGGGCCTAGGAGCCAGCAGAAGTGAGCAGTCTGGCCCTACCTTGCCTCTTGCTAGCTTCAGTCCCCTCCCCTGAGCGATGCCGAGAGCAGGGGGATGGGGATGGGTGGGCTAGGGCCGGATCGCTTGATGCTCCCCGCACCAGGCCTCCTTCTACCCTCCAGACCATCCTGGACCTTGTGTCCCCCTGAAGTATGGGCCCCCCCAAAGCACAGGGCCCACAACTGTTGCCTTTGGCCGCCCTATGGAAGGGCAGGCTCTGCTTGGACCCATTGTGAGCACCATGAAGATGAAACAAACCTGGCGTCCAGGAGAATATTAATTCTCTTTCGCAAGCAGAGGAAATGATCATGAGACTGCCGAGAATTTTGCATTTCCTGATCATCAACCTATCTTCTGCAACCTCTCTGAGACACGCCAGGAAGGGCCTGTGATGAAACCGCCGAACCCTCCCACGCCGCCCAAAGTTGGCTTCTCGCCAGGCTCTTTCCTACCTGCTGCTGCCCTGGCGACCGGCACGGCAAGGACCAGCAGCTGCATGGCGGCCGTGGCGATGGGAACAGTTGGCGGTGGCGCTGGTTTACTGCAGGGAGAGAGTGACAGGGAATCGTTGGCCGGGGGTGTCTTGG